AGAGAGGAAGCTCCCGGCGGAAGACCTCGATCTTTCGGCGCTCATCTTCCAATCTGTTGACGTAATCGTCAAGCCTGGACAGCTTCTGACCAACATCCTTGACTTTGGCGACCTCTTCCAGACACTCGGCGACGGTTTTGGAGACATGGACCAGACCCAAATCCAAGCTCAGCTCCATTTCTCTTTGCTTCTGGGTTTTTCACTTTTTCAGGCGGATTCAGGGTGGAGCATTGAGTGAGAGAGAGAGAGAGAGACTGGCCCAGGTCAGGTGAGCAGCGACGGATGGAATTTTGAGCTGATGAAGAAGAAGAAAACGGTTTTATATTGTGGGAGAAGAAAAAGAAAGGAAAGAAAATTTCAGATTCAGAGAGACGCGAAGATTCGGCGACCGCTATGGGCGTTGAGGATGTTGAGGAGGTCGTCGACGTAAGGGTCGAGGGTGGTGTAGCGGTGGAAGTCGAAGTAGTCGAGGTTGACGCTGCCGGCGTAGACGAGGTCGTAGAGGATGACAGTGGTCATTCTCAGTCAACCCTCAAATTTATTTTATTTATTATTTTTTAATTGCCACGTCACCGAGTTAACGATCAACTTTGAGGGTTGATTGCCACATCAGACAAATTTAACGGAGTTGGACGGAGAGTGACCAAATTTGAACCATTTAACTAATTTGAGTGACCAAGGTTGGATTTAAATATTTCCGGTGACCAAACATGAACGTTTTTTGTAATCTCAGTGACCAACCATACAATTAACCCAAATAGCTGCCTACAAGAAATGTATATAAAATAAGATTGAGGGTATTAATGACTGATTGGTTAAGTTGGGATTGATTGCTGAACTTTTCGATAATGAAGTTCAGTTTAGACTTTAGATGAGTGGGAGCATCTTCTTTCGGGACAAGCAAGGCGGGTTTCTTCTTCGGCCTGTGTTCCAAGAGATGCAAAGAAAGTTGCTCACCATGGCCCATATCTACTTGGGCTGGGTCCAAACTCTGTTATGGCTGTACAGACCACATGTTGCTTTTAGTTGATCTTTGTGTTGAATTAGGGCGGCAAATGAGCCAAGCGGCTCGGCGTTCGACTCGGGAAAAACTCTTTTGAAACTCCGCTCGTTTACTAATAAGTCGAGTTTGAGCTAAGCCTTGTGCAGTTCGTGGAGCACGCGAGCTAGCTCGACTCATTGGCTTGTTGAGCTTAACTCGTGAGCTGACTCGTTTAGAGCTCACGAGATGTCTCAACTCTCAACATTGTGTCTAGATAGCCAACTCGATTACCAACTTATGAGTGAACCGATCTGTATGAGTTTAATTTTGATAATTTATAGGATTGTTAAATTATATATCTCACCCTATATGAAGTTTAACACGTAGATTAAGCGGGCAAATATGTCTTATTTAATTTTAAAAAGAAAATTATCTATCATAGATTGCTTCGATACTATGATATAACATAATTTTGACTAGTTAAAATCTATTAACTAAATAATATGATACCACAAAAAATAACACGAGATTAGTTAATATTGAACACTTAACTATTATTATTATTATTATTATTATTATTATTTTCATCTTGCCATTAATCACATGTATCATACATGACATACAAAATGAATATATCAAATACAAATCAAGATTTTAGTAACCAAGCTACCTCGAACTCGACTCGGCTCGTTAATCAACGAGCAGAGCTCGAGCTCAGCTCGTTTATTAACGACCCGAGCTCAAACTGGGATAAAACTCGGTTCGGTTCATTTGCAGCCCTATGTTAAATTATGCAATGGGTTACTGTCTACTCAGCGTGTATAACAAAAAAAAGTTACCGAGCCATTCTTCTGGTTGTTTGGATCGGGTAATGTGATGATTGACTTCAAATAACTCGTTTAGAAGGAAAAATATGAAACATTTTGTAGATCTTATTCTCTAAATACCACAAATATGATATTGGATAAATATTAGGATGAAGGTTGACATCTCCAAATTAGGGTTGAAATGAGCCAAACTACTCACTAGCAGTTAAACATTTGGTTCGGAGAAAACTCGTTCTACAGTCAGCTCGTCACTAACGATCAACGTTTGAGCTGAGCCTTGTTCGGCTCGCAAAGCTCTTGAGCCAGCTCTACTAGGTGGCTTGTTGAGCTCAAACCGTGAGCTAGCTCGTTTCGAGCTATGAGCTGGCTCAACGGTATGGCTAGCGAGCCACATCAACTAGCAACTTAAGAGCCAAGTTCAATAACTTATCATTGGCTTGTTGATAATTCATAGGTTTGTGAGATCATAGGCGGAGGGAGAGAGTTCGGTATGTGTCCCAGGACACAGGTAATTTTGGTACAAAATTAATATATCCCTATATATATTTGTGTAAGGAACAAAATATTAAAATTCATCACATTGATATAGTATAAAAAGTATTTACCATTACAACAAACCTCAAGTTTTGTTATCTGATTGATATAAAATTAATTTATACGCTATAAATGGAATCTTCAATTGAAATAAATCTCTATTTGAGTTCTTTTTTCTCAATTATCCTATTCAATTTTGTCCAAGAACTATGAAGTCTAATAGAAGCCTCTGCTACTAGGCTCTCTCTTTTCTAGTCCGCTAGTTTCCATTCAATTTTAATTATTAAATAATTATTTATATGTTTATATTTTAAAAAAGGACACACCTAGTTTTACAACCTGGCTCTGCCACTACGTGAGATTATATATCTCACCACATATTATGTTAAGAATTTGAGCACCTAATCAAAGATGTTTCATACATAATTTAAAAGAGAAATTATATATAAGAGATTCTCATATACTAATTTCTATTAAATAACATGACATAAAAAATTAATAATTATGAAATAAATGATATGATACCTTAGTTTTTGAGCCAATATCGTTAGCTAATGGGCTAATACCACTACAACACCCGAACTATCCGAAAAATGTCACTTGTATCCTATTGTTTCCAATATTCCATCTGTGTCCTGAACTATTATTCCGTTAGTGTTGACCGGTGTTGACCGTTAGCATTTAACAGAAAATCCAGTCAGCGTTGACGTGGCATCTGACGTGGAATTTTTATTATCAATTTTATTTATTTTTTTCATCTAAAATAATTAAAATAAGGAAAACAAAATAAAAATGATGGAAAATTACAAAAAAAAAAAAAAAAAAACTCAAATCAGTCGATTCTCATCGACTCACTGGCGACCCTTCTTCTCTTCTCCAGATCGTCAATTCTCTTCTCCATCGACGATTCACTCCCTCTCCTTAGCAACTCCCATTCTCCCACCGCCTCCACTAATTCCCTCTCGTTGCTTCTCTGCTTCCTCTCTCTCTCTCTCGACTTTCAATCTGGAACTCTCTGTAAATGGCGGACAGAGCAATTAGGGATTGGAATTTGGCGGCGGCGTTCAGATTAAGAGCGGCGTTCATCCAGCGGGTCGCCACCTCCGAAGTCCTTGGGCGAGCGCTTGAGAAGCGGAGGCAGCGATTCTTCGTCGTCATCGTCCTCTTCTCCGTCGCTCTTCCCGAAATCGGTAGCTCCGCCCTTGTACACCGTCGTGGCGTAGATGTCGTAGGTCTCTGGTTCGTCGTTCTTGTTCAGTGTTTTGGGTTCGTCTTTCTGGTTCAGTGTTCTCTGGGTTCCTCGTTTTTGTTCGTCGATGTGTTCTGGGTTAGTCGATCTATTTTGTTGATTTCTGGGTTCCTCCATGCCCAGAATCTCCGGCACCTTGTGCTTCATCTCCACCAGCGACCTCGAACGGAAGCAGAAAGTCTCCGTCTCCGCCGCCGATCGAATCGAGAGCTGGTTCTTCAGTTTCAGGAAATCGTCCGGGTCCATTAGCAGGTGGAGATCTTCGATTTCGGCGAGAAGCTTCCAGATCTGTTCTAAGAAGTAGCAATCGTTCGCCTCCGATTCGAATTCCTCCGCCGCGATTCGCTCGGTGGATCTTGGGTAGGTGGTCATTGGTGGAGCTCTTGGTGGAGATTGGAATGGGGTGAATGGTTTGGAACAAAGCTCTCCGAAGTTGTGGTCGGTTGCTGCTGCCGCGACGACGGAAGTGAGGAGGAAAGTCGGATTCACAGCTCTCCGAATGGTTTGGAACAAAGCTCTCCGAAGTTGTGACCTGGTGACGGATTCACAGCTCCTTTCTCCAGCTACAGGTCCCGGCGGAGGCGGAGAGAAGAGAAGAGATTAGGTTAAAAACTAATATTAATTTTAGGTTAAAATAATATTCTTGAATTTAAAGTTTTTTCAATTTTTTTATTTTCAAAATTTATTTAATTTTGAATTAAAAATGTGAGGTGCCAATGACTTGGCATTGCCACGTAAGCAAAAGTCAATGTTAAGTTGACTGCCGTTTGGTCAACTGTTATCTTTAACGGTCAACACAATTGGTAGGATACAAATGACACAAAATATAATAGTTCAGGACACAGATGAAATATTGGAAACAATAGGACACAAGTGACATTTTCCGGATAGTTTGGGTGTTGTAGTGGTATTAGCCCTTAGCTAATTGATAAGCCGAACTCAAGCAGAGCCCAACCTTAATAAAAAGTCGACCCAACTCCGCTCATTTCATTTGCAACCATACTTCAAAGAAGAGGCTATTGTCCTTTTTCTTCCAATTATGTCATTTTTTTTAAACCCAAAATACCCTCTCCTTAGTTGTCCTACCTTTTGTCTTTCCCTCCCCAATTTTTCCCATAACCATTGTTTAGTTGTCCTTCTTACATTAATTATGAACACACTATACAGGTTTATCATTATAAAAAACAATAACATAATGTAAAGAATAAAGACTAGAAAATCTCATTAGCCTATTACAAATTAGTTTCTACCTTAAAGTTAAACATGTTGCATACGTGCGCTGGAAAATGGAAATTGGTGTTTGCTTTTGAGCTTTTTCCGATTCCTTTCTTATGGATTTGGGCTGGACTCCAAAAGTAAGAGGCCCACTTTACCATTAGTCTAGACTAAGTAAGGAATCTGGACCAACCACCCTAATTGCTTATTATATAACTGCCTCCACTCATGATCCACGACTCGATCCAGAAAAAAGCCCGCCATTGACTTCCAAACCTCACCGGCCACCGCTTCCAACCACCACGTGGCGGCACCCGATTGGACGCTGCCCAGCAGTTGTTCCCCGTCTCGTCAAGCAAGCTTAGGTTTGTTTAAATAGCTCTCCCCGAGAAAATCTGTTATGCCGGCCGGCGACAACAACTCTTTTCCGGGATCAGTAGCCATCGCTCTCGCAGCCATTATAATTCCGATCCTCCTCAGCATTTTCGCCCGGAATCCCCCAATTTCTCGGCGACCAAGCAATCCCAATCTCACAGTGAAAGACCCTAATTTCTCCGCCGACATGGACGGGATTCGGCACAGCAATCTGACCCTCAACGGGATAAACGTCCACGTGGCGGAGTCGGGCCCGGCCGACGGCCCCGTGGTCCTCTTCGTCCACGGATTCCCGGAGCTCTGGTACTGCTGGCGCCACCAGATGGCCGCCGTGGCCTCCAACGGCTACCGCGCGGTGGCGCCGGATCTGCGAGGGTTCGGCGATACCGACGCGCCGGCCGATCCGGCGAGCTACACGGCGCTCCACGTCGTCGGCGACCTCGTGGCGCTGATCGACGCGGTGGCACCGGAGGGGCAGAAGGTTTTCGTCGTCGCCCACGATTGGGGAGCTTACATGGCTTGGTATCTGTGCCTTTTCAGGCCCGATAAGGTCAAGGCGCTGGTCAACATGAGTGTTCTATTCAATCCCCGGAGCCCTAATCGGAAACCTCTTCCGACCTTGAAGGCTTTCTTGGGCGATGATTACTACGTTTGCAGGTTTCAGGTACTGTTACTCTTGTTCCTCTGTTACTGCTCTCTGTGTCTGTGAAATTTGGTGCCATTGATTGATTGCTGCTAGATTGATTATAAGGCACCCGCTCTTGATTGATGTAGAGTTCAGTAATGGAGTCCAGTTTTGAGTTTACTGTAATTTACAGTAATGGCGATTGGTGCGGTGTGCTCTCGGTTTTGATTCGATGGTATAGGTACACAGAACCCACTTGAAAGATTGAATAGCTCTGTAGGACCATTGGCTTGAATCAAGCAGCATAATTGAGGTCCACTAGGATTCAAATAGTACACCTTTAAGACATCCGAGGCTCGAATTTAACCAATTCGTTCCCAAAAACTCGAGTTGTTTGTATTTCGTGCGAAGCTGATAGAGGAAAATGGGGGTGGACTTTGGTTGGTTTGATCTGTTCAGGAGCCGGGAGTTATAGAAGCAGAATTTGCAGAGCTAGGTACAGAGAGGGTTCTGAAGGAGTTCTTTGCTTACCACACACCAGCTCCCCTCTACATGCCTAAGGGCAAGCCATTCGGCCACTCGCAGGACGCGCAAATCGCACTGCCACCTTGGCTGTCGGAGGAAGATCTCAAGCACTACACCGACAAGTTCGAGAAGACGGGCTTCACCGGAGGATTGAACTATTACCGGAACATCGACCGGTAAAAAATTGTCCAACATTGTGTTGTTTTCGTTCTTTCCAAATCTTCTGTTTTAGTTTTGTTGAATTTGGGGCTTGTTTCTTTGCTGCAGGAACTGGGAACTGACTGCGCCGTGGCAAAGGGACCAAGTGAAAGTGCCGGTGAAGTTCATCGTCGGAGATCAGGACCTTACCTATAACACTGGGAACGCCAGAGACTACATTGGCAAAGGGGGGTTCAAGAGGGACGTTCCGTTTCTGCAGGAAGTGGTGGTGATGCCTGGCGTCGGCCATTTTCTCAACGAAGAGAGGGCCGACGAGATCAACAGCCACATCGTCGAATTCATCCGCAAGTTCTGATCTGATTCTTCCGTCGGTGATCTGAATCGTGTTCTTGTTGTGTATACTACCTGAAACTTGTTCAGTGTGGTTGAAACGAAAGCTTGTTGGCAATTCAACGCCTCGGTTGTGAAAAAAAAAACATCTGTAACTTGCGGGTACAGAATGTGATATGTCTTTACTTGCAAGCAAAGTATGCATATAAATAAAGGAATCTACATGTGTTCACAGAAATCTCTTCTTCTAATCCCTTTTGTAGGGAAACATTGATCAATTGCTTTCGTGAACCACGTTCTGATTCCGCCTAATAATCGCAAACTTTGCCACAGAGAACCGAGTTAGCAGGTCCTTATCAATTGTACCTGAAAAAATTGGAGATGCCGTCCGGCATCGAGTTTCTTCATCGGAAAGTAGTGATACTAGCTGTTGACGGCAAATATAATGCCCAATCTTGCTCGTGATCACCAGCATTTTCTCAGCGTCCAAACATTCTTCCTGCTACACAGACCCAGCCAGCGGGCCCAGGATCCTCTTCCTCCAAGGAACGGGTTGTGATGGGAGGCGTCGGCCATTTCTTCGCAGCAACCACATCGTCGACTTCATTCGCAAGTTCTGGTTTTATCCTCCCAAAATGGTAGGCGAATAAGGTTATTACACAAAGCAAACGATTCATTGACAGACAATACAATGCGTTCGTTTTTCTTGTTATACAGACTTTGCAAATGTAGCTAATTTGACAGCCATAGTTTAGCCATCGTCTGCAATCGTATCCGATGTGAACTAAATTAGGAAGATATTTGCTTCATGATCAAGGCTTTCACCATGGTTCTTTCCCTGTTTATTGTGTGGATGTTCTATGATTCAAACATCTTCTCAGGTTGGAAATTCACCCACACTGTTCTTCTCTAGAGATTCAAGATGCTGCAGAAGAGACATACTTGACAGAGCAGGCAGCAATTTGGCTGCCAGACAGACACTATGGAGGAGAGGTGATGGTGATCAATTTCCGGGCCTCTTGCGTTTCTCGCAGTTGAACTGGACATCAACTAGACCCGTTATTCCAGCAGTTACCTTCTGACCTGCTTTCACTGGGCTAACACCTGGAGGAGTGCCTGCCACAACCAGCAAAGGGCACCCATTTATTTCTGTAACTCATGTTAAAAGTATGCTGTCAGCATTTCGGGGGATAATAAGATAGCTAAAAAGTAAAAACTCTAAATTCAGGATGATAGACCACCAGCAACTTATTGGCAGATCTGGTATATATCAGACCGGAATCCTAGTGGCCTTTAATTAGAAGCTGAAAGGGAGATTGGCATAAGCACCAACATGGTTATCGAAACATGTTTCAAGTCTAATGAAGTGTGGGTGTAAGCATGTACTACTATGGACAAAGCTCAAGGACCAGGATCAAAAGAACACTAGACCAAAATAAGAAGATTACGATCCTCATTGACTGCTGCTTAAGCAATACACGACAGGTTATGAAGAGAACTTTCCAAAAAAGACATCTTGACAAAAGTTGGGTTCAATAAAAAGGGACCGAGTTGTAGTTCTTACTTCTTACGACCATGAAGTTTACCAAAGGGCACCTTGACAACAGTTCCACTAATTTTTTGTGAATCAAAGAATGAAGCGAAGAAAACGCTGAAAATACCTGTTAAAATGACATCTCCCTCGAAAAGGGTCATGATTGCACTTATGTAGCTGATGAGAAATGGGATCTTAAATATCATATCCTTTGTGGGCCCTTTCTGTCTTATCTCGTCGTCAACCTGGACTCAAAACATGAAGACAACTGCATCAGCAAGACCATTGACAAACCCTAAAGCAACCAGGAAAAGCAAATTGTTTCACACCTTCAACCATAGCTCCAAGTTATCAGGATCAGGTACAGCTGACTTGGGGAGCTGCACAAAGTTCATAGCGAAGAGGTCATTTTGATTAGCGAAGAGGTCATTTGGCTAAGCAAAATGAAATGCAATCACATACATAACAAAAGCAAGCCAGAAGATGAAATCGTAAGGAAACTGATGATTGTTCAGAAGAACACTAACAAATCCATTTCCAACCTTGAATCAAATACTTCTATGATTATATCTATTCATACTATTAGCTAGAAGCTAGGCATTATTGCGTCCGTTACCATTCACAAACCGAAGAGTATATCAAAAGGTAGCAGCGAGTCGTGTATTTCACATTCATATAGCTAACTCCAGGGCAATTTCACCTACTAAGACTTAAAAGATGCGAAACCATGGAGATTTCTTCATAGCTTACAATGGAACTGATAGGTGTGAATGTATCCTGCCCCTTGGCTACAGTCCATGGAAGTCCTGCTGACTGCAGAAACCAGAGAGAAACCATCGCAAAGGAACTTATCAGAAGACATTCAACAGCAAGAATTCAAATGGAACAAAGCAATTATCTTCATCTCTACCTTGGCTGAAGCTTGGATTTCTCTTGCAGTCATATCCAGCGCAAGAGCATAACCTGAGAGAAAGCAATACCTCATATGATCCCAGTCTCTCTCGCCATAAACCAAACTCCGAATTTCACAGAGACGAAAAGGAACTCGCATCAAACCTCCAATGTAATCCATGGCGGAAGCCTCCGGCACATCGCGAGCTTTCTTGCCGATGACGACGGCGAGCTCCACCTCGTGATGCAGAGATTCGAGAGGATGCGGGATCAAGATCGTGCCTCCGTTGTCCAAGTAGGAGGATGTAGGTTTCAGGAACAGCACCGGCTCCTGCGAAGCGAGAAACGGAAAAAGGCGAGCGAGGTGCCGATTAGCTGGCCGACGGGAGAGCGGGCAAAAATTTGAGCTAAAGAGGGGAAGGAATTCAGTTAGAGACCTTGGGGACGGCGTTGCCTAGTTCTTTGGCGTGAGCGGCGTAGTTGCGGCCGACGCCGACGATCTTCGTGCCGACTTGCAGTAGCTTCTGCATTCCCAACGCTGCCGTCGCCATTTCCGCCTTTCGCTTCGCTCCAACGATTTCAGAATTCAGATGCTTCCTTGTCTGTTATTTTGATTTTTGACACATCATCAGCCGTCAACTCTGATGGCCTTCCCAAATCGACATTGAAACGCACCGTTTTTGTAGACTGGAAATTGGGTTATCACTAATTAGTAATTACGATTAGGATTTAGGAGCTTCTTTTACTGCTGAGACTCTTGTGAGAGGGTGATTATTTTTTTGACGGATTTGTGAGAGGGTGTTTATGCCAATAAATACATAATTTTCTAGTGACCAGTTCTATTCCAGCTAATAACATGAAGAAAATAACCTTATAAAAAATAATAATGATGAAGAAAAATTGATCAATTTGACCTTTTGAACTTTCTTAGATTACAATTCAGTACATAAACAAAATATTGGACCAAACTTGTATATGAAATTTTCATTTTAATCATTTCAATACACTAACCTCTTTTTAATTAGAGCTAATTGTATCACGTCATATGTAATACTAGAAGATAGCAAGTAAAGAAAAGGTGCTGCTTATTAAATAAGATTATTATTATTGTACAACATTACAAGTTTTGCCATCCCTCCTACTCTTTCTGCAAGTAACTTGGAGCTCTAAAGGGCGAGGCAAGAGTGAGTGTTAATAGGAAGGAGCAAGCCGAGTGATCTAGGGAAGCAGAAGCAGAAGAAGTGCAAACCAGTCTAATCATCTAAGCTGCAAGATGAACAGCTCAGGTTTCTCAATCAGGCGTTTCCACTCGGAGCAAAATCTCGCAACCGTAGCCCCATCCAGAACTCTGTGATCTGCTCCTATATTCACCTGGAACAACAGTGGAGAGCCGGCATGAAACCCTTAAACCACGCTACAGACATGAATCGGCCAATGAAATTGTACATTAACAAATGGTGTTTAATCAGCTTACGGTCATGATCGATGCAGGGTAGACATTCCCCTTTTCGTCGAAATGAGGAACTTTCTGGATTCGTCCCATTGCAATGATGGCAACTTCAGGCAAGTTAAGGAGGGGAGAGCCGAACTTCCCACCGATTGCACCAATGTTGCTCAGAGTCACCGTTCCACCTGTTACGTCTTCGGGGCTAAGCTTGTTAGCCAATGCAAGCTGTTGCAGGCGAGCGAGTTCCATGGTTATCTGCATCCAACCATTTCAACAAATTTAATTACAGCTTCTCTGTTGTCGACCTTGCTTATACACCAACCCTGGCAAAAACTAGTTCGTTGTAAAAGGAAAAAGGATCATTTGATTTGATAAGTACAGTTTTATACGATATATTTCCATGGCAATTCAGTTTAGAATAGTTCGGTTTCAAGGCACAGTGAAAACTTTCTGACTAGTGACTTTGAGGCCAACCAGTCAGCAAAGAGGAAGAAATGACGGGACACAAACCTCGAGGATTGAAAGGGACTGAACATTCTTTATGTTTGGTACCACTAGACCGGATGGAGTAGCCATGGCAATTCCAATATTGTGTGAACCTAATGTGCCAGTGGCAATTATGAAAAACAATAAGTTAGTAGTAGAGATTGCCAGGAGACAGGAGTCTAAGAATTTCAATTGAAAGGAACTACACACGACTTCACAGCACATCCATTAAGCTTAACCTAGCGAAATAGCACACTGTATTTCCCTCAGTAGTCGAACAAGTTGCCATGAGATCAAAATTTGCAGAAGCCAAACAACAACAGTGATTTCTGAGAAGGATAGGATCAATCAACCTTTTAGTACGACCTCCATAGCATCCTCGTTGAAGGAACTATTCACCAAAGGGTACAGGCTTAGGGCTGATGAAAGGGCCTTGATTAATAGTGGAAGGAAGGTATGCTTAACTCCTGGATCGGTTGTTTGTTTCTGGAAAGATGCTTTCAGTTCCACTAATGCATCACACTTGATATCTTCCACGAAATAAAAATGTGGAACTTTGGCAGCCATAGACATTGTTTTCACCATTGCCCTCTGGAAGCCCCTGAAGAGGGAAAAAAACCAAAGGGGATTTACTACAATATTGACTGATTCTTAACTATCCATACCAGTGAAAACTAGGTGAATTCAGACATTACCTTAGGGTAACCTTCTTATCACTGGGATTCTCAATGACTTGAACTGATCCGAGTTCGTCCTGAAGCTGGTCACCCAAAGGAATCCCTGAAGACTCGATGATTCCTTTCTGAGCAGCAAATTTAAGAATGTCTTCTTTCAGCACCCTCCCTGATTTCCCAGATCCTTGAATACCACTCAGACTGATACCATACTGTTTAGCAAGATGCCTCACCGCTGGTGTGCACAAAACTCCACCACCTCCAGTTGTGTTCAAATCAGCACCAGATGACAACTCACTGTCGAGATTCCCACTCACCTGAATCGGAACCTGGGAGTCAAGTGACTGCGCAGGAACCTGCGATTCGTCCACCACCATCTTGAGAAGAGTCTCCCCAACCTGCAATAGAGTTTTTCCCCATGTCTTTAGGGACACACTAACGAAATGAAATAAAGAACAGCCATCTCAAGAAACCACCTTGGAACTGTATTACAACACTTGTAGTTCCCAAAAATAGCTTTGTCAAATATATCAAAGCCTACTTGAAGATCTCCAACTTCAATTTTGAGACTTCCACAACCCAAAGCAGCTTTGTTGCATTCACAAACTATCTATCGCTATGCTAAGCCCCGCGAGCAAATCTTAATACGAAAATTCGGCTCAATCAAAGACCGAGCCATTCAAGTGAAGAACTTCTCACCTTCACAATGTCACCAGGAACGTAGAGCATCCGAGAGACTCTTCCTTTATAACGGCTTGTGATTTCAATGGTGGCCTTGTCGCTCTGAACTTCACAGAGCGGCTGGAACTCGTCGACTTCATCCCCCTGGAGAGCCAAAAACTCATTTCAATCCAATTGAAAAAAAAAAATGGAATGGAAAGAGAGGGAAAAAAATGAAGCCGGCCTCAAAGAAAACAATCGATCACTCACCTCTTTCACAAACCACTGAAGCAATTCACATTCAGCGATACCTTCGCCGGTCTGCGCCAACGGCACATCGACGGTCCCGTCCTCCGGAAGACCCGCCGCCGCGATACCGGAAAAGCAACGCCGCTTCCACCGCCAACAAAGCACGACAATCAAAATCAGTTCAAAATTCTCAACCAAACAAAAAAAAAATTCCACCAGCACAGAAACAGAAACTCGACCAATCGAAGTAGCAAACTCACTCCGATGGAAACGCCTTCGCTGGAGGCAAATCCGGCCGCCGCGTGACTGGGACGAGCGAGTCGGGACGGCAGGTGACTAAGAAACGGAATCCCGTGGTGGCCGGTGAAGACCGCGGCCGGAGGCGGAGAAAGAGGATTCTGAGCAGCGTGAGAGGTGAGGAAGCGGCGGGTGACCGCGGCCCATGCTCGTTTCCGATTGACGATCCTGATCGGAATCATGATTGAGTTGAGAGAAGAAGGAAGCAGCTTCAGCTAAGTCTTTTAAGTTGTAACAGCTGCTGAAAACAAAAAGAAAAACTCGCGGTTTTTGGGAAGAGTGGACTGTGGCAGTAGACTGCAGAGTTAATTATGACCAGAGTAGAGATTAGAGAATTAGGCAATTAGCTTTTTTTTTTTTTTTTTTTTCATTTGTAGGAGGATTAGTTGTTGTGAAATGGAATAAGAAGGTGCCGTTTCATGGAGCTGAGCGGATGAAGAGCTTGCCGTTTCGGATTCCAGATCAGCTCAACAATTTTCATACTACTGTTATTATATGATAATGATATGACCTGGAGCTGGGTCACGGGCAGCAATGTGATATAATTCATAATTGAGACTTGAGAGTGAGTCAGGTCGATTTATATAGCAGGGTGTGCAATGAGGTGGTCGGTATCGGTTCGTCCAGAACTAAATCGATTTTTGGACCGGATCTCACCGAATTGAATATAGTATGATTTAGTATTTGGTCCCATGAATTAATAAATTTAAGGTTAAATACACTTGTATATTCAAAACTTTCACGGTTGTGTCAATAATATCCAAATTTTCTGAAATACCACTTATATCCAATTCCTTCACATTCTTTAACGGTGTTTTTGGATATACAAGTGTATTTAACCAAAAATATATTGGGAAATGGATAGATTTGGCAAAGAACAACTTTAAAACATGGATATAAGTGGTATTTCGGGAAATTTGAATATTACTGACACAACCGTCAAAGTTTTGGATATACAAGTGTATTAAACCTAAATTTAAAGAAAAATTAACAAAATTGACATGAGTCGAACGAAATCATATTAAAGCGAATTGCATGTGTTATAGACTTATAGGTTCAGTTTTTTATCCTAAGATGTTTTTAACTTTTTAATCGCGGCTTTTCATAATTTAGTTCAGTCCGACCGAATCAGTGTACACCCCTAATATGATTATTTGCAATTTTATTACAAGTGATGTAGTAAAAGTAGATACATAAAAGAAAACGTAGTAAAAGTATATTCTTAGACAATTTTAATAAAATTCATATAAAATTTAGATAAAACAAGTAACTAATAAAGCAGATCAAGTAGGACAAATTCGAAAGTCATCCCTAAGAGCAGCTGCATCGGCTGTCTTGCAGCCATTCCATTGATGACATGGCACTTCCATTTATCATTTCATGGTTGTAGAGGTTATTTCATAAAGTGACAGCTTCCACTTAATGGAAGTCTGAATGGAATAGCAAGTGGGGTAGATGTGGGTCCCTTTCTATGGTTTAGCCTCATCTCTTTATTTGTTATTTTATTTTTATTTTTAGATAAAATATAGAGTTGTATTAAAATCATCAATTGGGCCCACCATATGAAATAGAAAGTGTATGTCATTGATGTGGAGAGAATGTAATTGATATAAAGTGAAATGAGAAAAATTGTTGATGTGGCGATAGGAACCACATATGAAATAGAAATCGTATTTCATTGATGTGGATGGTCTAATAGTAATAACAAAAGCATTGTAGATATGTCAAACCGTCCGCACTTAACTTTTTTAGTTGATCAGCGTTGAGGTGCGGGACATTGTCCAGGACTCCTCGTGGCCTCTTTGTCGTATTTTATCTGCAGGACATCCACGTGTGTTGCTGTCTTGGTGAGATACAAATATATTGC